ACACAGTCTATCTATCTATCTATCTATCTATCTATCTATCTATCTATCTTTTCATAGGCGTGGAAGCACAGGCGTGAGGTAATTACACCGGGGGAAAACGAACGTCGACAAGCACGGATACAAGCACAACGAAAAGGAAACATTTTGATCTTTGCGTTTGTGTTTATGCTTGCATGCGTCAAGCCTTTTTCACGATGAACTAAATGCTGTGAGCTTGCGTTTGTGCTTGGGTTGCTAAAGAACTGACCAGGCTAAGCCTTCTCAACGAAAAGTAATGATTCTCTCAACCGGGAGCTTGAGATCAATAATGTTTCGGAGGTTTTCACTTCCCGAGATCAATACGTAAATTAATGATAAGTCTTGCTAAAAACTGATGACGTGTTATGCAGAGGAAAGGAAGCCGACATCCGTGTTGGAAATTGCCGAGGAGATCATGTAGCTAGGGCGGCGAGACGAAATCCGGTTTCAAGTCACGCCTAAAAGGAGTTATCAACAAAAGAATCTTAAATTTAGCGTCATAACGATGGGAACCCGCCAACATTCTATTACTAAAATCACTGACAGAAGAAAAGTAACTCCTCAAGTTTCCGTAGCGCTTAAGTCTTTATAAACGGATAGAAAAAACAATTTCTCGATATCTCGGTGTAACTGATAAATTTGGTATACCAGCAGTGTCATGGTTGACGATGCTATGGTATTTTTCTGCCTTGTCAGAGTGGCTACATGTCAGGGAATGTATTCTAAGTTAAGCATTATATTGTTATGAAGTATCTGGTTAGTTTATAATTATAGTTAGTCATTTAGTTAGTCAGTTCAGTAGGATTTAACCTTTCGTTTATATTTCGAATGTACTAGTAATGTATGAATTCGACTTTTGAAGTTATTTGGTCTATCTAAGTTTTGAGCTGTGGTGACGAGATTCCGAATCGTGACAGCCTTTTCTGACTTCCTATGGTGGACCTGCTTAGTTTGTCTGCTACATTTGCTTTGGACTCACACGAAAATTCTTGTTTTGGCTAACGCAGTCAGAGGTTGATTAAGTTGATCGCTAGGATTATGATAAAGTACTTTGCTGTTCATTTCGCAAGTCTCGTGAAAATGTTTGGTTTAGTGTTTTAACAACAAATGTTTAATCTCCCAAGGTCAGCCAGCTGGCATGCCCACCCATATCTGTCAATAGTAAATGTATCAACATGTTCTTTAGAGCTAACTTAGGAGAGTGGAATGAAGAGAAAGAAGAGCAAACCAGAAGAATGTAGACAGAGTGCACTGGAGTGGAGTCAAATTTCTGCTGTTAAAGGAAAAGTGTTCAGTGAAAATCAAATTGTGAGAGCCTAAGGGATAAACCAGAGTTACACAGAGTGAAATAAGCTTGGATTTTAGTAGAATTACGTACTGGAAAACCAAATAATTAAAGAAAAAAGCGAAAAATATTCAAGAGTCTTGCTGTCTTTCATCGTGTGTGGTGTGCTCAATACCCAGCCCCCCCGACATATGAGAGACGCAACAATACTCATGCAGAAATAAGTATTGTAGGGGGGGCAATAATTTTGTAACCTCAGCTGGCAGGAAGTGAAATATAGTAGACAATTTTGAAATAGAAATTCATTTAACTCTAAATTAGAAAGTTTAAGCTTAAAATAACTCATGTTTGGGCTCATTTTCTGTTCAAGCCTGTTAACATTATGTTCAAAAGTGACGAATAACAGAGAGAACGAAACAGTTATGGCAAAAGACTTTTTATGACAATTGTCACAAGGCGAAGAAAAAATTGGCAGGTGCTTAAACCAAGATAACTCCCAAAAGTATCTTAGGTTCGAGTTTTTTATCTCCACTTGTATAAAGCAGTACTGCCATAGAACTCGCCTTTGTGAAGCTGAACACTCGAGGGCAGGAGATGTTTGACGCATAGAAAGGAATGAACCACATACTTTCTAAAGGATATGCACTTCTCTCTGGATCCTTCTCGAATTCGCTTTCATTTTGTGCAAAACATACACGCAAACGTTAGAGTGGATGGATTATGGCGACATCTACTATTCCCATCGAGTGAAGCAGCCCAAAAATAAGTGGATCTTAAGTGAGTGGCACAAATGATACATCATCCATACAAATTTGGTTCAAAGATCCGTCTGAAACTAATCATCATACATTTTTCACGACTCTTTGATCAAGGGAAAGCTCTAATCCTTTTAAACAACTGTCACCCTTTTTACAAAAACAATTTTTAAAAGAAATGCATAGGTAACAGAATGTCTAAGACAGTGATTTTGGTTAACTAAGATTTTCTAAAATGAATTCCTGAACCATGTAGGAAATAATTTTGTGACAGATACCTTAATCTTCACGATTTACCCGCTCAGATTCAGTGCATGGGAGCTTCTTCACAATCATCCAGACACAATTTGTCGTTTTCTTCGAAGCCACTACACTTCCCAGAAATTTAAAGGAAGTGACGTAATGTTTAGTAGCTCGCATTGTCAGTATTAAGGTAACTATCACAATGTTTTTTCCTTTTGTGACTCAGGAATCTTGTCTTAACCAAGGTAGTGTGTTATGTATGCACGTATAATCGTTTAAGACATAAAGCAAGCCGTCGCCCAAGACATAGCTGTTGGACGCCATCCATAATTTATGCGGTTCCTGTTTAATTCTCAGAAATATGGAGGAAGTGGTTTCGTATTTTGATGTAAATACTATGGCCACAAAGCAAGCGGAGGGCGCGGAGAGTTGTGGGAATGATGATAAATTACCCAAATATGACCATAACACATTTGACTTATTCTCTTCCAATCACACCTCACATTCTCCTCGTGCGCCATGAGAAAACAGCGACTAGGTCCGAGTTTAGTCTGTAGCCAGGGTATGCAAGCTTGAGTCTTAAGCGCCATAATATGGAATTCTGAACCAGTAACGAGTTTTTAAAAATGAGCAAGAGGTTCTTGAGAGCCTGGCACTGTTTCACGAGCTGAATCCCTTTAAAAAAATAGGTACAGTAAATCGTTCCTTGAGCCAGCAATATCCAAGGTGGTTTGATGTAAGCCTATGGAAGTAGATAGAGCTAGATCGGCGAAGAAATGTAACAGACTAATCGAGTACCTTTGGCGCCAAAATATGATATTTGTTCGCGGACATAATCTACTCCGAGATGCAAACAGTTTTCAAAAACAAAGCTCGAGGAAAACTGTGAGCTTCGAGGAATAGAATACAGTGGTACCAAAGATCCATAGACACAGTGCATCATGTCATATACCGTATTCCCTTGAATAACGGCCTATTTCCGAGAAGCGCAGTATTTGAAATTTCGGCACGACGGAAGTTTAGAGACCTTGACGTTAAAATAGTGTTGTTGTCACGGAAAACTGGGTCCGTTTCCATTGGCACGAGGCTTTTACATTTTACCTTTGGTGACCCACAGTTCTTGACATTCGATACCTGACGAAACGAGGAAGGTTGCCCGTGACAACAGCATTATTTTTTTATGGTCAAATTCCCATCACCAGACTTCTTTCGTGTCTCCCTCAATTGATAATCGTAGTAATGAAGGTCACCCCAGAATATGCACCACCGCCAAAATTTTATATCTTAGGAGAACTAGAAGCAGAAGAAGAGGCGTGCCCTTCCATGTTGGTGACATTAGACCCTCAGGTTAAGAAGGGATCCTAAGATTAAAGTTAAATAAATATTTCACTGGTAATACACTTGAAAGGTGCGAGTAAAAACGGTTTCTCACAATCAATAGGTACTTCGTTAGTGTCTGTCAAATGTTCAAACAGACAGGAAATGTTTAATTTACTAAAACTTGCTGAGACAGGGAAAAAATCATGTATAATACGACTTGTGACTTAACTTCTTTGCGAAACCATATAATGTTCGCGTAGCGGTGATTTGCATAGCTACTTGAAGTTTGAAAGCCCAAGGTTACATCAGAATGAAATAACAAACTACCTACATAACAATGGAAAATGTAAAACCTAAGAAAAATAAATACCTTCTATTTATGAAGGTCACCAGTTCATAATAAAATAAGCTTAGTAAGTGAATTTAGTCTCGAGAAATGCATCAATTACTTGTTACTAACTTAATAGATTACTACCGAAATTTAAAGAGCAAACTCGCTTTTTCTTCCCTTCATTTTTATCACACGTCTCCCGAAGGCAAAGAAGATGAAATTGAAACTCTTACAATTCCTTCCTATCCTGGTGTAACTATATATGACAAAAAGGTTATAGAGGAGCTTTATTTTACACAGCATTCTAATAACCGTAAAACACTACCAGGAATTTCATAACCACACCATGTGCAATGTTTTGTCTGGCTTTAAGTGTAAGGGTTAAAAAATTTCTAGAAGCATATTTTCATTTTAGATTACGGAAAAAAAAACCCGTTCTCAAATCTAATTTGCTGCACAGGCTTTGGACATTTTACTCTGTTGTTTCGTTACAATGATAAGAAAGATCATTTTATTTTACAATGGCTTCACTATTATGATACACTTAGCCACCTCCTCGCCGGACTAATCGATGCCTTGCACACTTTTACACAAATCTTTTAAGAGATGAAAGCAGTAAAATTTGGATATAAAGGCCACTGCATAGAAATCAATTTTACCTAAGGGGATCCTGCCACCCTCATTTCCCCTCTCCCCTCAGGTTTGCGTCCTTGTACAGTTAAGATTAAGATAACTATTACAATCTTCAACCCTAACAATCTACTCTGTTCTCTTTACATTTCCTCTGATACTGACAATGAGAGTTTGCTTGACAATCAAGAGCTTCCTAAATTGGTGATCATTGCCTTCATTCTCGTTTCATTTATCATTTGATTCAAGAGTGATACCGCCAGTAGAAATAAGGAGCCATTCATTGTTAGGGATAAAAGATTAAATTCACGGCTACAATAAAGAATGAATACGTCAATCAGGACACTATCTAAAACATCTCAATGGGGAACAATTTGCCCTTTCTTGGAGTTTTGAACACTGAAGTCGAGGTTGTAATTCACTCATTCATTCCTGTCTGACTGTACAAAGGATGGCGGCAAATAGGACAGCTGCGACTGCAAATTAAAAGGAAATATTCAGGTGAACTCGAGAAAAACTGGTGTGGGAATGTCGCAATAAATTCTGGCCTACTTAACGTACAAAGTCTTTCAAAGTTTACCGATGAAGTAATATCGCTTTAGATACAAGAGAACTCCGTGACAACATGCATAGAGCGTCTTGAAACCAAAATTGAAATAATCTCAGGACCTGACAAAAGCTTAGGGGACAAAGAAGGATAATGAGGGCGTTAACCAGATTTTGTCGATTTCACCAGACTTATCCCCAGCTGTAGGCGGGAACGGTGGTCGGTTTCTCCGGACGTCCGTACTGTTGATTCTTCACGTAGTTTCCAATCTTTTCTGAAGTTATTTTCATTGCGAAACCAATCGCTGTTTGTCAATAAATCACTCCTGCCCACTGGCGACCAAAGCTCCTTACGAGGGTACGGAGGTTTTTTTATTATGAATGCAAATGAAAACTGCTCAGTGCACTCTCATAGCTGGAGCAGGTCCACACACACCCAATCCAGAATTAAATACCAACACATAGTCAGTGCAGTAGTGGAGTGTTCTTCCATATTTAAGTTTATTCCCAAAAACAGATATAGCGATATTTAAGCATACTTACACGCCGTTCTGTATCATAGCAATAGCACATTCGCGGTGAACCTTGTGTGAGCATGGCAGGATCTGACAACCGCTAAAAGCATCCTGGAAATAAAGAATTGATCAACCAAATAAAAATATAGAAATTTGGATTGTGATCTGCTTCTCTTTCATCAGATTTCGACTCCAGAAATGCAAGCACCTGACGTCACTAACGCGACAAGTAAATAAAACCAAACTTAGTGCAAGGTTAACTGCTTCGGCTAAACGGCAAAACCTTTTAAAAGATATTTCTTATTCAGCCTTATTATGTAAATTAAGTAACTACCTCTAAACAGATGCAACACTCGTCGTGTCCTGAATTTGCTCGGCAAGAATGTCTTCCTTCCAGCCGTTTGTCCAGACAGACGTTACACACATCACAGTGGAAGGAGCGGTCCTTGTAGATACTGAACGGGAAATAGAAACATCACTTCGCAGGTATTTACTCGAGCACAACATGATTCGTTGGGGAAACAAATTTCGAACTCACGCTGATAAGCACCGTATTTCTACTCGATAAGCTGCAATAATAATTGAGGAGGAAACTTGTATTTTGTCGGACTCTTGTTCCTTTTTGAGAAACAACTAGCAATGGGGTGTTTTATGCACTCCTCGATAAAGCATTTCTCTCTCCTTGAATACTTTGCTCTCGCCTTACAGATTGTGCCAGGATTCTTCGTACCTACTGCAACCCAAGTCAATAGCTCTGAAGCAGGTCAATAACTCCCTAACCTTCATTCTTTTGGACAGCAAGCATATCATTCAAACAAACGAAGACAAAACTCGTCATGAATTTTGTTTCACCTACCGGCAGATACCACATTTTTCGCAGTGATAAGGAGCTTTATCCTCCCCTGTGAAGTGTTTACATACCGAGCAGAAATATGCTGAGAACCTTGTTTTGCATCTGACACAGGTGTGGGCGTCCTGGTTGATCTTAAAAATCAAACATTCGAAGTTAAATCGGTTATAACCTAAGTGGGAGAACTCTCTTTCCTCTTATGAAAAATTTCAAGTCAATGTCATTCCTATTTACCTCTTGTTGATGGCTACAAACAGAGCACTCAACAGAGCACGCCTCTCTTGCTTTGGAATTATCATTTGGACACCCAGAGTTGTTATGACAACGATGACAAGGAAAGAACTTTCCGCAGCATGAGAACTTGACACGGCAGAGCCGCTGATAATGTTCACACAGCCATTGTCGAACCCCAGCACTTGCCGAGTCTTGCAAAGGTGTTTCTTGTCCACCGCTCGTGGAGTTCCCCTCTACACTTTCATTCCTGAGTTCCGTTTCTCTTGCTTCCCTCGCTTCCCTTTCTTTTCTTTCACGTGCAAGTTGTTGTTTCCTTGCCCGCTTATCTTTTCTTTTTTGCTCCGTTTCTTTCATCGATTTCTCTCTTTCTTGTCTTTCTTTCAACGTTTTCTCGACAAGACAGCAAGCTTCAGCCACACGTTGCTCGAGTACGGCCAATGATTCGTCAGCAGATGTGTTTGAATTACTGTTTAACAGACCATGACCAGCTCCTGCACTTTCCCCGTCCGGAAGAAATCCTGGAGCGTCATCTTTTCTTTCAAATTGCGATGAGAACGTCGGCCTTTCGGCGAGTACATGTCCATCTGGGGAGATATTTGTAAACGGGAGATTTGCTTTACATCCATCTTCATGGAAACTTGAAGATTGAGGTAGTCTAAAGGTCTTCGCTGGAACAGTTTTTGTAAAATCACGACATTCAGGAAATTTCGTTGAACTTGGAGAAGTAAGGTGGTACACTTCAGTCATACACCTAGATCTGGTATACTCGGGTGGGAACCTGCAAGCACTTCTGAATCTTCAAATGGATCACAAGAATCCCAGCGCTCATCAGATGCATTGCACTCATAAGAATGACGTGCGAGGAAACTGGGATCTATTCCGATGTGATTTGTGCCAACGTCATCCCCACTTGGATCCCTTTGTGAGCTGTGCCCTGACGGAAGATCGCTTCGGCGTCCACCTTTCAAACCAAGATATGTTTTTGTTTTCGAATTAATCCCGTGGGAATCTCCTGGTGTTTTTGGAAGGGCAACAGCTTGGATATTCCAATCTTTGTCAAAGCCGCAAGCCCCATTTCTAGTAAGAACATCGGGGTTTTCACCGCTGTCTGCAACCACATTTCCTACCTGAAAAGGGGCTTTAAGAGTGTCATTCCGTACACCACTGACTTCATTTGGTGTTTGCTGTATCTTCTGTGAGATGCTGATTCCTTTGTTCTTATCCTTTTGCGGCACATTTTCAAGATGATCATAATTCTTGCCTCTATGGTTTTCTCGACCAGAAATTTTACCTGGTCCGTCTAATTCTTCGTTGCTGTCCCACTTGTTACTGTCTTCTCTAAATGATGGAATATCAGGGCTTACAACTCCATCTGCTGCGTCGCAAGGAAATTCTCGCCAGCTTCGGTCACGGCGCGACTTCAACGGAGGAACCTCTTGAAAGTCTTCGCACAATAATAACCTTGCAAGAGCGATGTTACATTGCAACAAATCCGGGTGATCTAAACCGTAGCCAAAACTTGTCAGAATATTTAATGCTTCTTCAAAGCAATTTTTTGATGAAAGGTTCCTTTCCATCAGAAAAAATCTAACACCTTGCCTATAAAGAAACGATGCATATGTTGGGTGGTTTTTCCCTAACGTTTCTTTGCAACTTGGTACAAAAACGTCGAGGAAAGATGCAAAGTCTAAGTTTTTTTCGTTCAAGTGAAAATCAACTAAATTCAATATCGTTGCGAACGAGAAGTCCCAATGGATTTTTCCATTATATCCGGGGACAGCTTCAAAATCGGTAAAGAAAAAAGGAAATGAAGACATTAGTGACGAAGCAGACGATGAATATGACGATGTTGATGACGGAGATGATGATGACGATGATGAAACTGATGACGACGACGATGATGAAACTGATGACGACGACGATGATGAAACTGATGACGACGACGATGATGAAACTGATGACAACGACGATGATGACGAAGACTCTGACCCTGACCCTGATGCTGTCGAAAACGATTTTAACGAAGGCGAGAGTGGTGGTGATAGCGATTGAGGGGAAAGAGAAGGTAAAGTCAAGCGCTCCGCTATTTTCTCTGCACTAGCCATATCTCCAATCTTTAGATACGCCAAACAAATTTTTGAAGATATAAATTTCGAGAATATTGCTTCTTCGTTGTTCATCCTCTCAGATAGTGAATCCAACGTCCTGAGCTCCATGAGTGCTTTGACAGGTTCTTTGAGCTCTATGAACAACTCTGCTCTATTGTAATATATGGCAGCTACCAAATGTGGGGGAAGAATGGGGTCTTTGGTCTTCAGAATAAGACGCTCTTGCAACTTCACTGCAGCAATGTAGTTCTTCTGACACTGGTAAGCTAAGCTTAAGTTGGTTTGTATTGCAACAATGTTTATTTCTGGAGAGTCAGTTTTGTTTTTGTTTTTAAATGTTTCAAAAATCTCCAGCGCGCATTCTAGATAATCACTAGCCTTGTCCATAACTCCCATAATCAGATAAACATAGCCTACATTTGCCTTGGCCACTGCTCTTAAAATATCGATAACTTGCTCGGTGTCTTTAGGACATGGCTTGGCATCAAATGTGTAAAGAGAATCACATCGCTGAAATAAGTCTATAGCTATTTTATATTCATGCAGCTTGAGTGCAACAGCAGCAAAAACAATAGTAAAGCTGACATAAAATGCTCATCCTTATCTGCGATCAGCTTGGGGTTTAACAAAACAGCACCAAAGAAATGAGGAGCGGAGCAATAACTCAAACACATCTCTCTACCTCGATCCACCTGCTCCTTCTCGTAATCAGTCGGGTTTCCGAAGCTATCTGGGCTTAGATTCAGGAAGTGCTTATGCCCAGCTTGTAAAGACTCTGTGGCCGCTTCCACTTTGCATTGCTGGAACTGATCCACCGTTTCTTGAAATTGTTCAAATGTACTGCGTCTGGCCAACTGATTATCACCACATTCCAATTCATCCTCAAGATGGGAATCTGAAACAGCGTTTTTCGGGATCTTGGGGTCTGTTGCGTCCATCTTTCCATGTCAAATGTATTACTCCTGAAAACAAGGTAAATCTTAAAACCAAAATTCATCCATATTAAGTGTGAACAAATTTTTGGTAACAAATCTGAGTAATTCTGTACGCCAATGGTTTAGTCAGCTCTCTCGCGTGCGTTACTTGCGTTCACACCGCGGTCCTGCAGCAGGTTGGCATTTCGTCTTTATTGACTACCTAATATGTCCATGTGATATTATGAACATGTTAAGAGTCAGGCTGTCTACGAGAGGACCGGGCAGGCGTGACATATGTCATCTCACCGATTTCAAACTTTCACAGTTTACAATGTTCACTAAGTTGTTCGGGCTTCTGGCTAATCCCACGGGTGTTAAAAGTCCCCACATCAAATTCCTGGGTTAAAAGGTAAACTTAGCTCGAAATATCAACGAATCTCTCTCACACTGACAGAATGCGATGGATTGTAATCTTATTATGTCCAATAGTTGTTTGAACCTTAAAGAAACAGTTTCCTAAAGTTGGGGTAATTTGATATAACTTCTGCCAATTTATAGCAGTTGATCATTAACTGTGTCACGCAACTATTCCAAAAACAAACAAATTGGGTTTTTTAATCACAAATATGTCCAATCGACAACATTGTATGTCGACAAACGTACTATCACAGAAAAGATCTATCCTAACACTACGTTGGTGGATAAATATATTTTTGCCTCTGGAGTTATATTGGCTATTTTTTTTGTCATAAACCCGTGTTTAATCACCCAATTTCAATTTGAGAACGGAATCACCGACGCTAGAGCTTGTGGCACTAATATCTAAAACAAGAGATGTATAGCTGCCAAATAAAGAGGTCACTTATAATACAAATTCTGTAACGCTGACACAATCTGTTGGGAAAATGATCCATAAATGTATGTGTGAATCATACATTGAACGTTACATAATTAATTTTAGTAATGGAGAGAAGCACTTATCAAGTAAAACTAGAGATAAATAACTCGCAAAATGGGTTCTTTTCAACAAAGCAAGCGGTCAGATAACAAGCAATGCACTGTGAAAGTAAAGTGAGGTATTTTCATTGAAAATTTGATTGGATTTTTTATTCCTAAGAGCGGTCGTAAATATTCCCCACAAAACTCCTATAACTTCGCCATGACTCTTATTTCGCGAAATGATCATCTCACAGCAGGAGCTTGGGCTGCCTGTGGTTCGATAATAAATACCTTATCAGTCGTTTTGGTGTGTGGCATCGCCGAGTATTTTTCATCGTCTGTTTTGTCACTCTCCCTTCGCCTCGTCAAAATACCGCACAACTAGTGAAATTAGGGCGCGGGCGCAAAAGGCAAAATTTTGTTTATTTTGCGAAACAATCAGAATGTCACTAACAGCACCAATAGGGAATCGAGAATGGGAAAATAAAACGGCAAATAGAAAATTAAAAGGGAAATATACATTTTTTAATTTATTGGTTTTAGATTTACATATATTTTTCATCTATATGCTTTAGAGTCTCTCCGTGGCGCACATAAAAAAAAGGTAGTTGGACATCTTTAGCCTCGTGACGTAAAAGCCCTTACTGCTGGACCTCGACGAGCTCTCTGCTGGACCTCGAGGAGCTCTCGACTGTGTGGTCTTAAAGAGGGGGATGGTTTTCAAAGGAACCACGACAAAGGATAATAGAACTGTCGTTTCAACTTCAAATGAACTGAGACAGAGAAGCAACTTAATTTGTCATTCGAGCTGAACATTTGAATAAATTCTTCGATTCTTAACTTTCGTATAACCGACCTATTTTTATGTTCTATATTGGGCATGACAATTTGTGTTTGACTTCAAAGATTTTCTAAGAATAAGACACGAAAGTTAGAGTCTTCCTCTCTCTCTTATGGGAAGTTCTCTTATCTAATTTCCTGAGAGAGGAAACTGTATGGGATCTGGACACACGCATGACAGGAGATTAGACTGTCTAAGCTGTATTTAGACCCGCAGCGAGCCCACCGTCTAAGATGCGCTGAACCCTATTATTGTCGAGGGGTTTTAAAATATTGTTGAGGAGAAATAGGTTTTTAGAGAGGAGAAAAAATCGAAAAAAAGAAAGCACAATAAAGAGAGCAAATTTTGGTGATCTTCATTAGTGTCACAGTAGTGTTTTGCCCAGGAAAGTATTCGTTAAACAGCATTGCAGTTTTGTCCTTTTTTCTCCGAAATCGTCACTTGCTACCTGCAATCCATCATGGCCTACAACCGTGGGAACCTGCTATTTATCATATATACAGAGAAAATATTGTTTGAATATGAAAGCGATCTTAGCAGTAATGAACACCACTTAAGTAGTAGTGAAAAGAAAGCCTGAAAAAAACTCAGGCCTGTACGGGATTTAAACCCATGACCTTTGCAATACCGGTGAAGTACTCTACCAACTGAGCTAACAAGCCAACCGGGTGCTGGTTACTGTGTTGGTTCCAAATAAACCCGTGAAGTGCTGAATAAACGGTTGTGAATAGATGGAAAAAATTCAGGCCTTCTTTTCACTACTACTTAAGCAGTGTTCATTACTGCGAAGATCGCTTTCATATTCACGTCTTTAACCGCAGTTCAATTCAAATATATGACTTCCATATATTCACAACCCCAAAATATTGTTTACGAGGTTTTAAGTATGCCCTTATGGCTAGATAAAGATCAAAATATCGTCTTCCTCATGACGTAACGCTCTTCGCGTTGCCACGCCGTAAACCAGTCAACCGCTGCGAGTAAGAAAACTTTGAAGATACGTCATGAATGGCTCACAGAAAAAGATCATATGTACATTTTAAAGTTCACTTTTTCTACGTCAAGATAGTATTTTGGTATAGCTGCAAGATAAAATGATTAGGTTTCGAAGGGGATGTGGATTTGTTTTGTCTGTGTGTGCGTACGCTTTTGCGATGATGCTACCAAGTTCTCCTCTTGGTTGTAATGTGCGTTGCTAAAAACGAAAGTAATACGTAATCATCTCGGCCAGAGTCATTCTTCCTCATACGGCATCTAGAAAATTCAAATAACTTTGGTCGCCATTTTATAAATTTCTGAAACAAATTAAGCAGCTCGACTGAAAAGTAGTTCAACAAGCGTGTGTGGTGAAAACCGGAGAACAGATTCAAGGTGGTCTTATGTTCTTGTAAAGCGCCATTATCTTAGAGTTTGCGAGTATATGATGCGCGTGCGGCGAGTTTACAGAAAACAGAATTTCGCGACTAGCAAAATAATATACATTCACTCACAGGCGACCCAAACTCCAGCTGTGAGATGACCACCTTGTGCATTAACAGTCATGGCGGAATTATAAGAGTTTGTATGGGGTTAGCACCGAAATGCTGTTGGAACCAACAAGACATTTGAAATACTCTTACTCTTTCCTCTAGAAATTTGAAGGAGACATGTTGGAGATGAGTTCACTTCAGAACTGTCTTCTATTCCAAAGAAATGATAAATTTAAAACAAGCCCGTGAGACTCGCGCGAGGAGATGGAGGCGCCTCGCGCTTTCTATGCGTTTGTCTTGTGTTATCTGACAAGCGAGTGATCACCAGAAAATTTACACAGATACAATTCGTAACCTTCGATCCGTGACACCCATTTTCTTAAAAGTGAGATGAAAAATTGTATCCTTGTCGTTGTTTTCCTGTTTTTTTGCGGGTGACGACATAAAGGGATTTTAGAAGGTTGATTTAACCCTCGTCACCGATGCTTCTCGAAATTCTACCTAATTTTAGGAATCGTAGTATACATAAAACATTTCCCGTGA